CCTGCTGTGTTCATCCAGCTCTACACCTTGTTATCTCAGATTCTCCAGCATCTGCAGTTCCTGCTATCTCAGGAACCAGACTCTGCTTTTCCTCGGCTGTTAGCTGATCTGTGATGCAGTCTTAATTGGAACTTTAATTTCTCCCTACCAGATCTTACTTTTCAAACAAATCAGTGATTGTTATTTGTATTCATGTGATTGATGTCAGTTTAGTACATAACTTGCAACATCATTTATCTTGAATTAATTTGCAAATGTAACTGCAATGCAGCCTTGTGCCTCTGTTCCATGAAGGACATTACTGTGGCAGACCAGGTAACAACCACATGCTGAATTACTAACTGAGAAAACTAACTGAGAAAATCTGACTAACACTTATGCAATATCGTTAGTACACCTTTAACCACCAAGATCTGTATCTATTTGATATTGTGTATATGTTAACAATGAAGGACACCATACCATGTGAGGTTTTGCATTTTGGAAAGTCAAACCAAGATAAGAGTTTCATGGCAAATGGTAGGGCCTTAAGTAGTGTAGTAGAACAGAGGGATCTTGGAGTTCAGGTGCACGGTTCTCTGAAAGTGGAGTCACAGGTTGACAGGGCAGTGAAGAAGGTTTTTGGCACACTAGTCTTCATCAGTCAGGGCATTGTGTATAGAAGTTAAGAAGTTATGTTGCAGTTGTCCAGGACGTTGGTGAGGCCGCATTTGGAGTATTTTGTTCAGTTTTGGTCACCTTGCTATAGAAAGAATGTTATTAAACTGGAAAGTATGCAGAAGACATTTACAAAGATGTCGCCAGAACTCCGGGTACTAAGTTGTAGGGAAAGGTAGGACAAGTAATGACTTTTTTCATTAGAGCGTAGGATACTGAGGAGGGATCTTATATAAGATCATGAGAGGCATGGCTAGGATGAATGCACTCAGTCTTTTACCCAGGGTTGAGGAATCGAGGATTAGAGGGCATCGGTTTAAGGTAAGAGAGAAAGAATACATTGGAACCTGAGGGGCAACTTTTTTTTACAGAGGGTGGTAGGCATATAGAATGAGCTGCCAACAGAAGTGGTTGAGGTGAGTACATTAACAACATTTAAAAGGCATTTGGACAAATGCATGGATAGGAAATGTTTAGAAGGATATGGGCCAAATGGAGGGAAATGGGGTCAACATGGATGGAGATTTTGATCGGTATGGACCAGTTTGGGCCAAAGGGCTTGTCTCCGTGCTGTAGGTCTCTGACTCTATGACTCTACATGTAAACTGGAAAAATTAGATTGCTAATAGTAGCCCTAATGAGTTTATAAAATGTTTTTGAGACAATTTCTTAATAGCACATTCTGGAATTGACCTTTAGTGGCTGTGCTAAATTTTATATTACACAATGTGACAGGATTTATTAGTAATCTCAATGTAAAATCACCTCTTGGGCATGGCAATTAGAATATGATTGAAATTTATATCCATTTTGAAAAGCAGAAGAGTGGATCTAAGACAAAAATTTTGAAGTTAAAAATGAGCAACTGTGTGGGCATGAAAGCTGAGCTTGCTGAAGTAAACTGGCATAATAAACCAGGAGATAGATCAATAGAAACATCGCTTGCAGATCTTTGAGGAGATATTTTAGAATATCTGGGATAAGTACATTCTTTTTGTATGTAAAAATTCCTACTATAAATAGAAATTCCAAGATGAAGATCCATCATCTGTGGTTAACTGAAGAAGTTAAGGAGAACATCAAATATTAGGAAAAAGTATATGATTGTGCAAAAATGAGGGGCAGGTCAGAATGCAAAGGACAGCAAGGAATGACTGAAATGTTAATTAAGACAAATAAGTTAGAGCATGAAAGGAAGTTAGCTAGGCATGGAAAGGTGGGTGGAAAGTTTTCTATCATTATCTCAGAAGGAATAAAGTAAGTAAAGTGAGTGTTGACCGTCTAGAGGGTGAGAATGGAGAGTTAGTACAAGATGATAAAGAAATGGCACATGTATTGATTAATCGTTTTGCTTCTGTTTTCGCTATAAGCGACAGAGAAAAATGATCCCAGAACACCCCTAAATCAGGGGGTTGAAGATAGGAAGGAGTTTTGTGAAATTATAATCACTAGAGAAGTGGTGCTGACCAAACTGATGGAACTGTAGTTGGTAAATCTCCAAGTTTTGATGGTCTTCATCCTAGCACCTTTATTTTCAAAATTTCATTAGATTCTGAAAAGTTTCCATTAAACTGGAAAGTAACAAGTATATCTCCTCTATATACAAGGGAGCGACACAAAGCAAGAAACGGTAGTTAGCTTGGTGTCTGTCATGGGGTGGTGTTAGAATCAATCATCAAGGAGATTATCACTGGGCTCATGGAAAAACTTAAGGTAACCAAGAAGAGTCAACATGGTTTTGTGAATGGGAAATCTGTTTAACCAATTTATTGGAAACTTTTTGAAGGAGTAATATACTCTCTGGGTGAAGGGGAATCGGTTGATGTATTTCCAGAAAGCTTTTGACAAGATTCCACATTAAAAACTGTTGTGTAGAGTGGACCTCATCGTACAGGGGATATGTATTAGGTTAGATAGAAGATTTTGCTGCCTGACCAAAAACAGTTATGCAAATGTGCATCTTTTTCATAATTGGCAAAATATGATGAGTGGGAACACTCATGTTGTGGCATAATTTTTATATGAATTACTTAGAAGAAGGGATTGAAGGCATGGTGGCTAAATTTGCAGGTGGCACAAAGATAAGTGAGAATAACAAGAATGCAGACTGATCCGTTAGGTATGAGAAAATGTTTGGCAGATGGAGTTTAAAATGGGGAAAATATGAAGTCATTTATTTTGGCAGAAATAACAGAAGTGCATAGCATTACTTAAATGAAGAATGACTGCAGAATTCTGAGGTGCACAGGGAGTGCATGAGTCGCAAAAGGTTAGTATGCAGGTACAGCAAGTAATCGAAAGGCCAGTGGAATGCTAGCCTTCACGAGATAATTTGAACGTAAACATGCAGGGCATTGGTAAGACCACTTCTCAATTACTGTGTGCAGTTTTGATCTCCCTTTTTAAGGAAAAATGTAATGAAGATGGTTCAGAGGATGTTTACTCAGTTGATTCCTGGAATGAGTGGGTTGACTTATGAGGAAAGATGAGGTTAGATTAGGCTTGTCCTGATTAGAACTCAGAAAAGCAAGTTTGGTTTGATTCGAGTTTCTAAAATCCTGAATGACAATGTCTTAAGTAGACGTGAAGAGGAACTTTATTATCGTGAGTGAGACCAGAACTAGGGACGCTGTTTTAAAATTGGGGGTCATGGTTGCTCTTTGAGGACATTGAAGGAAATTTTTCTCAGAGGTTTGTGTGACTCTGGAACTCTCTCCCTCAGAGGCAGTGGAGGCTTGTGCTTGAATATTTTTACAGTGGAGCTAGGTAGATTCTTGTTTACCAGGAGAATCGAAGGTTGTCGGGATATATGGGAATGTGGAATTTGGAGCACAAACAGATAACCTTGATTTTATAGACTGATGGGGCAGGATTGAAGGGCCAAATGTCTTGGTTCTAATTTGGATGTTCCTATAGCTCTTCACTCCTTTTCTGCTTCCCAAGGGCCAACAGGCTGTGCTAGGTCTACTCAGAAAATGGCCATGAGAATAATGTTGCCCTGACCATAATCATCTGGTCTGAGTTTAGCACTACACAGTGATAATGTGACTAAGATATAGGAATTTACAATGTAGATATTTAAGTTCAGCCATCTGTTCATTGATCTGTGCCATCAGTATGCGTACACAAGTATTGGTTTATGTCCAGTCAGGACAGATAAAATGGAAGACCGCCTACAACAACTGTTCTAGTTTGAAATAATTAGTCAGAATGAATTTCCCTGGAAAGTTAATTAACCAGTAGTTTGTATGTGTAAGGCTAAACTCACCTTGGATGAGTAGAATTTAAAATGAACGTATCATATATATAACACAGTTTGTGCACAAGCTGAACAGAAATGCACCTACTGAAAGTATTTCATTTTCTGATTTTTTTTCTTACAATCTTGAAAATGAGCCCCGTGGGGACAACACTCCTTGAAAAGTCTTCTTAGTTTTTCTCAAGCGTTCCTCCCAAATGAAACAGTTCAAAACAATCTGGTCTGGATGAAATCAAATAAGAATTTGATTAATTAGAAATAACTAATTGTTGATCCAATAAAGTTGACAGCACTAAAAGTGAGCATGATTGTAAAATTCCAAACAGTTCACAAATTTCCTTTAGGGAAAGAACCTTGGATAGTCAGGGTGATATGTGACTCCAGTCTCGTGTGTGGTTAGTTCTTAACTGAACTGCTGTAGCAATCCACTCAAATCATTTGCCACAAAGTCAAGAGAAGGTGCATTACCACAAGGAAGCTAGGGATAGATAATAAATTTGCCTTGCAAAGTACGCTTGCATTCTGAGAAGGAATGTTGAAAAAGGTGCACAGAAATTACATGCTGAGTTAGAAGTATTTGATTCTCATCTGTGCTAACAAAGGTCATAACAGTTTACTTGTAAATTAGTTTACGACACAATAAATATTGAACAGTAAAGAATAGTCATTGTCCATTGACAGAGGAATAGTCATTGTCCATTGACAGAGGAATATCAGGTTCATATACGTAATTTGTTCCTGGAAAAGTAGTGACTGAAGCCAGAGAATTGTGGAAGAAATTACTGTCTAGTTATAATGATCCCTGTATTTACAGACAAGCTATTTTTTTCTATCAGCATTTCTACTCCAGTTGTTTGCAGTAATGGAATTTAACAATACCGAAAGAACCATAGGATCCATCAAGCATGTGCTGTTGGATTTTTGTTTCAATATGTGCCTCGTTGTCTAATTTCAATCTCCTACTGACTCTTTATACCTTTTATTATCTTTTCAGAGAGTCATAGAATTCTGCAGCACGGAGATGGGCCCTTTGACCCAAACTGGCCCATGCCAACCAAAATGTCCATCCATGCTAACCCCATTTCCCTGCACTTGACCCATATCCTTCTAAACCTTTCCTATCCATCCAAATGCCTTTTAAATGTTGTTAATGTACTCGCCTCAACCACTTCCACTGGCAGCTTATTCCATATGCGTGCCATCCTCTTTGTAAAAATATTTCCCCTCTGGTTCCCATGTATTCTCTCCCCCCTTACCTTAAACTGATGCCCTCTAGTCCTCAATTCCCAGCCCCGGGGAAAAAAACTGAGTGCATTCACCCTATCCATGCCTCTCATGATCTTAAACACTTCTATAAGATGACCCCCCTCCATCTCAGTCACCTATGCTGTAGCTAGACAAAGTCTCCCTATAACTCAGTCCCTTGAGTCCTGGCAACGTCCTTGTAAATTTCTTCTGCATTCTTTCCAATTTAATAACATCCTTCCCATAGCAAGGTGACCAAAACTGAACACAATTCTCCAAGTCCGGCCTCACCAACATCCTGTAACAACTGCAACATAACTTCCCAACTTCTATACACAATGCCCTGACTGATGAAGGCCAGTGTGCCAAAAGCCTTTTTCATTGCCCTGTCTACCTGTGACTCCACTTTCAGAGAACCGTGCACCTGAACTCCAAGGTCCCTCTGTTTTACTACACTCCTTAAGGCTGTACCATTCACCATGACACTCCTACCTCAATTTGTCTTTTCAAAATTCAAAACTTCACACGTATTTATATTAAACTCAATTAGCATTTCTTGGCCCACTTCCCCAGCTGAATAAGATCCTGCTGCAATTTCTGATAACCTTCCTCACTGTCCACCATACTGTCTATTTTGGCATCATCTGCAAACTTACTAATCATGCCTTGTACATTCTCATCTAAATCATCGATGTAGATAACAAACAGCAATGGGCCTAACACCGACCCCTGAGGCACACCACTAGTCACAGACCTCCAACCTGTCAAGCATCCTTCCACTATTACTCTCTGCTTCCTATCATCAAGCCAATTATGTATACAATTTGCCAGCTCTCCCTGGATTCCTTGTGATCTAACCTGCGGAACCTTATCAAAGGCCTTACTGAAATCCATATAGACTACATCTGCCCTCATCAACTTTCATGGTGACTTCACCAAAGAATTCTAACAAATTTGTGAGGCTTGATCTCCCACACACGAAGCCATGCTGACTCCTAATCAAACCCTGTCTTTCCAAATGCATGTATATCTTATCCCTCAGAATCTTCTCAAGTAACTTACCTACCACAGATGTTAGGCTTACTGGTCTATAGTTCCCAGGTTTTCTTTGCTTCTTCTTGAATATGGGCGCAACATTTGCTACCCCTCCAATCTTCTGGGACCTCACTCATGGCTAACGATGAGGCAAATATATTAGCCTGGGTCCCCGCAATTTTTTCTGTAGCCTGTTGCAGGGATCTTGGATATATCTGATAAGGACCAGTGGATTTATCCTCCTTCATACCTTCTAATACTTCCAATACCTCCTATTTGTTTAAAATAAATAGATTCTGCTTGAACAGTAGGTTGTGTACTAATTTTTCTCTCTGTCTACTCTCTGTAATTTATTACATTTGTCCTCTTATTACACCTGACTCTCCAGTGTAACTAAGCCTTCGTACTAAGGGCCACTTGCTTTACAACTTATTTTACCTCGGTCAGTAAGGCAGCGGTCATAAACTACCTGTGTAGAGAAATTGCTAGAGGACTGCATCAGTTCAATGAGGAAGCTCACAACCTTCTCCAAGGCAGTTGGGGGTGGCTACTAAATACTGACCTAGCCAGTGATGCTTACATCCCATAAATGAATTTAAAAATCTAATAACTTCTTATCACACACCGTCACTATTTTCAGTCTTATATAGCTATATTTTTATAAACAAGTTCATCAACTGCTTTTGCTGAAATTTAATTCCACATACCCAGCACTGTGGTGGATGGTGACAACGTTCTAGGCGATAATCTTTCGTAAGAATAATTATTTTCTACTTGTATGCTGTTTTTATTTTCTTAATCAAATTTAATAACATGCATCCCTATTTTAAAAGGTACCTTGATTTCAGCAAACTAGCACACCACCCACACACCCTCCCAACCCCCCTTAAATTTCTTTCCAGGCAGAATGGTGGGACTGATAGTGTTTAACGCTGCTAGTTTGTATGAGATAATGAAGTCCTATTTTCCTGTGCTAACATCTCAATACGTTTTGCAAAGATCATTTCATTGTTTGTTTCAAACAATTTATCACATATCCAAATATGAATTTACTGTCTTTATTTGGCTTGCTAATATATCATATATTTTAATATACATTCATTTTTGCTTTATTTAAACCAAGGTGCAGTACATCATTCAGGGTTACCACAGACGAAGAGAGTACATTGCAGCCTTTCTAAGTCACTTTGGAACGTAAGTTTATATTTTGATACAATTAATTGTTACTACAGGATAACTTAAGCAATGGCTTTATAGTTCTGAGAAAAGACACAACTATAATTTGCAACAGCAGATTTAAAAATATTTTCACCTTGATTTGCAGGTCATTATTTTTTGGTCAGATGCAGACTACCCAAAATCAGGTTTGTGTTAACACAGTGTGGCGCTGGAGGAACACAGCAGGCCAGGCAGTATTGGGACGTTTCTGGTCCCGACGCGAAATGTCAACTTTCCTGCTCCTCTGATGCTGCCTAGCCTGCTGTGTTCCTCCAGCTCCATACTGTGTTATCTCTGACTCCAGCATCTGCAGTTCTTCCTATCTCAGGTTATGTTAAAACTTGTTGTCCTATAAGAGCTGATAGTGCAATATTCTGATCCCTTTCAAATCGCTCCCACTTTCACCTTCTAGTTCCACTTTCACCTCCTCCCCCATTACTATTTTTGTAAAGTTGAAAATGTAGAAGGATTCCTATGAAGGCATTCAGAGCACTTGATGTCTTCTGTGCTCGATAAATCAGCCCAGAGCATTAGTGTTTCTACATATCTTTGAGTATTGTTAACATCTCTAGAAATATTTCATTTGGGATTAGGCTCCACAAAGCAGCTGGACCACCTGAACAGCAATCCAGATGCTCTCTGCAAAAGAAGCTATCAGGCTTTGGGAATATTCAGCCATTTTTCAGGGATCTTGTTGTGATTTGAATTGGCATTAAATTAGGCTAACAAGGATTTGAAATTCCCCTTGCACTTTGGAGCATAAATCTAAGAGTGAGAAAAGAGTAGTTATACTAAAGGAAATACTGCCAGAAAGGCAAATTATGCTGAACACTTCATCCTTCATGTTATTTACTTGCACAATCATTAACAGTTACTGTTAGTTCCTCCTCTGCAGTTTCAACCTATTTATTTCACTACTTCTGTGTTGTTCCAAATAAGATGATAGTTGCCCATCCTTTCTGAAAGTGTGTGGTGTATGCCTTTTGCTTTCTAACGATATTTCTTCTCCGTGGTTCCCAATCTGGAGGAGGATGTCTGGAGGATGTTTGCTGGATTTCAAAGTCTGCCTGTAGGAGTGGAAATGGCACAGTAATTTCTTGTGCTGAATCAGGAGAGGCCATCGGATAGCAGTAATATTGCCATGGTGGCTGCCTGAGTCTTTGCTCTGTCTGGTTGTATTCTGGGACCTAGACACGATTTAAATATTTCTGGGAGTGATAAGACTATAAGTATTTGACTTTTGAAGGTTTTTAAGTGCTACAGGTGTTTATCAAGTAAGTATTCAGTCATTTGTATGGCTGAAATGGATTTGGATTACTCTTTGAGAAGACCCTACTGCCCATATCAGCTTACTGTTGGGCATTTCATTGAATTATGGAATGATATAGTACATGGGTAGACCACTTGGCCCATCTGCTATGTCAGCTGTTCGAAAGAGCTACCCATTTACTTCAGTTTCTCTACTTTTTCCATATACCCTGTAAATTCTTACTCCTCAAGTACTATCTAACGCACATTTTGAAAGTTACTGTTGGATGTGCATTAACCAACCTTTCAGACAGTGCATTCCAATTTACAGAAGCTGACTAAGCAATTTTATTCTCCCTTATGCTGCCTTTCATTTTTCTTTGCCAATCACCTTAAGTTTATCTTCTGTGGTCACTGAACCCTTCTGCCCTTAGGAATATTTTATCCTCATTTTATCAAAGGTATTCATAATTTCTGACACCCCTTTATATAATCATCCCTTAACCTTCTCTGTTCCAAGGAGAACAACCTTAAGTTGCCCAATCTTACCACTTCGCTGGAGTTCCTCATCTGATGTAAGTTTCTAATGCATCTCTTCTATGCTTTTCCCAAATGTTTAACATCCATCCCAAAGCCAAGAATCCCACGCATATCTGATGGCCATTTCAACTTAGCCTGTTGCCTTAAAAATGCACCCTACTTCTCTGTCTCTGCATCCCCTTTAAAATTGTACTATTTACTTCATGTTGCCTCTTCTCAATCCTCCTAATAAAATGTACAGGAGTAGCAACAGCTTACATTTGTATAGCACTTTGAATGTAGTAAAACATCCCAAGGTGCTTCACAGAATCATTATCAAATAAAATTTAACGTCAAGCATGCAAACAGGTACTGGAGTAAATGACCAAAAGCTTAAGAAAGGAGGTAGGTGAAAGGAGGAAAATGGTACACAGATGAGACGTTCAGGAGAAATTGGAATATAGGAGAAAAAGCTGAAGGGAGAAATCAAGAACAAGTGAGAAGAGTTGGAGATTGGTGGTTTGTTGTGAGATAGCGAAAAATGATCCAATTGGTTTGTAAAGAGAGTAGCTTTTTAGATGTAAAGGAAACACTCCTGCTACTGGCTTACAAACAGTGCAGTGAAGTTACTTAACTAAGGGTCCAGCCTCCTCGCTCCTTTTACCTGCTAGGTTTTTTCCAAGCAATGGAAAATGCTACCCCGAACCCATGCATTCATGTCTTAAAAATGCTGTAAAAATGAAGCCATACAGCCTCTTTACAGGTTTTTACTAGGTGACATGCCATCAGAGAGCACTTTGTTCATCTGTTTGGCCTGTTAAAATTCACCTTGGCCTGTTAAAATTTGTGTAAATAGTTTGAGATCTTTATAGGATTTTTAACACTTTTAGTTCGCACTCAACTCCAAAGAACCGAGTGCAGGCCCGGCATGTTGGCCTTCTGGCCCACCATGATGGTCTCTTGGCCCAATGTGGCAGTCTGCCAGCCCAGCAAAGAGTCCTCTCGGCGCAGCATGACGTCCTCTCAGCCTGGCGTGGCGATCTCCCAGCGGCTCAGTGTGGTGGTATTCGGACAGTACTGGCGGTCTCTTGGCCTGGAATGACTTCAGCATGGACTTCCAGTCTCGAGGTGCTACCAGAGCGATCTCCCAGCCTCGTGAATCCTGAGGTGAAGCCCGAGACAGTCTGGAGTTAAAGGCCCAGTGCAGACTGGAGGCTAGGTGCCAGCATGGACTGCTTGGGAAGATAGTTGTTCTGAACTCTTTTTTTTCCATTTTATAATTTATTCCTAAAATCTGCAGTGCCAGGCTTCTTTTACTTCTCTATTTTTCAAAGAACTGTAACTGAAAAAGCTGTACCTTTGTACCTAAGATTATAAGCGGCGACTTGTACACTTTTCACTGTCCTCATTTGAGTACATGTGACAATAAAGCTCATTCAAAAAAAAAATTCTAATTCTAGTTCTAACCTATCCTTGGAGTTTAAAATTCATCCTTTCAGACAATCTGCAATCTTTTGGTCTTTAGTGTAGTTACCTACCTTTAAGTGTGAGCTGAACCCCTTTAAGAGTTGCTTTTGAGAATTTCCCTTCCCTTTACACTTGTACATTTGTGTGAGAATGTGCCACGATAAAATTTAAATGAGCTGATCTAGCATTACATCACAATCTTGTGTGATAAGTACCTGAGTATTATTGGCCCTAACTTCATGATACGAAGAGCACATTATTCATCCCATTGAGTTTCTTCAGTAAAACATTTCAAAAATACTCAGGCATGTGAATGAATTCAGCTAATCTGCCAATACTATGCAAAAATGCAGTTCTAGGATGAGGTAAAAGTGAACTGCTTCTTGGCAGTCTTCCGCTTAATGTAGCAGAAACTTAAAGAAACTGTTAGTGGAGGCATTTGAGGACCATGGATGGTAATGAGTGGTGTATTTGAAGGAATGTTGGTTTTTATGTTATTAATATCTGTGTCATAACCTTACTGCTGCTGAATTTTTTTTGGAATTTCAATTATTTTCCGTAAAAACAATTTTTCTGGTTTTAGCTGAAGGTCTTGAAAAATGCTATATTCCCAAAAATACCAAATAAAATTTCTTTTCTTAAATATTTATACTGCACTGCTTGAATTTGGATAAAAATATATTTATTTTCTCTTGCATTATTACAACTTGAACTATTTTTGACTAACAGAGTTCTGAATTCAAACTCCACCGTGATTTGAGCGCATAATCTGAGTAGATACTCTAGTGAAGCATTATGGAGGGTCCTATCTTCCAACTGAGATGTTAAACCATGATCCCCATTCCACTCAAATAAATGTGAAGAATTCAAGGACACTTTTGAAGGAAGTGCAGAATTCTGCCTTTCCTCCCTCAACACCACAATGCAAAATTTAAGTAATTCATTCATTTACTGCTTCTGTGGTCTTGCTGACCACAAATTTACCAATGTTCAGTGAAACATTTCATAGTGAATTTTTGATAATAGCTTTACATTGAGGAAAACATGGCACTAGTGCCAGAATTGTAAGATAAAGAAAGCATGATTGGTGAAAAATGAGAATTGGACACCATGTTTGACTTGTATATTTAGGAAGTTTGTTGTATAGTACGAAATGAGAAGAACTTCTGACACAGTGGGTAGTCTCTGAGCCAGAAGCTCTTGTTCAAGTCCCATTGGAGCTGGTAGCCAAGGAAGGTACATTCATAACACAACTAAACAGGTTGAGTGTCATCTTGTTAATCCTTTATCGTGAGGTAGAAAAGTGTGGGAGAGGTTCCTTGTCAGCCATATGATAGAAATAAATTGAAGCCTCTGTCATTCACTATCCATTCCTCCAAAAAAGAATTGATAGTAAAAGCACATTCTTCTACAGCAATTTAGACACTTTAGGGTCTGGTTTGCTCAGTTAGCTAGATGGATCACGTGGATCAAATTAGTGCCCATAGTACAGGGTTCAATCCTTGTTCCAGCCAGAGTGTATTCAAGACCTGCCTTCTTGATGTATCCGAGATAGTAGGAACTGCAGATGCTGGAGAATCTGAGATAACAAGCTGTAGACCTGGATGAACACAGCAGGCCAAGCAGCATCAGAGGAGCAGGAAGGCTGACGTTTCGGGCCTAGACCCTTCTTCAGAAATGCCAGCCTTCCTGCTCCTCTGATGCTGCTTGGCCTGCTGTGTTCATCCTATTCTTGATGTACCTGTCTTATAAATCACAACACTATATTCTACCTGCCATGTGGCACAAAGCTCAAGAGGTAGTTGCAAAAAAATGCAAATTGGGCTCCAGCCCATTCAAATTAATATGTAAGTTCAAACAAATATCCTGAACTGACTAAATAATCTCTGTAGGACAGTTTAGGAATCAAAATATTTGAACAAATTGGAACAAATCATAAAGCTGTCTTGTCACAATTGTATAGAGTCTTGATGAGACCACACATAGAGTATTGTGTACAGTTTTTAGACTCCTTATCTAAGGAAGGATATGTTTGCTATGGACAGAGTACAACAGTCGTTCACCAAACTAATCCCTGGGATGTTGAGATCATCTTACAAGGAGAAATTGGGGAAACTGGGCCTGTATTCACTGGAATCTCAAAAAATGAGAGGTGATCTCAATGAAACATAGAAAACTTTCACAGGGCATGTTACAACCAAGTGCAGCATCACTGTAATCCTGTCACTCCACAGATCACAACATAAAGTAAAAATACTTCTCCCAATTACCAAATTGGCATATCTACACCAAGTTCTAAATAAAAAGATCTATCAGCCAAGTGGCTTATTATCAAAACAAAACTTATTCAATGAAAATACAATAACTGATTAACATACACAGTCTGTTATATAGAAGTATGAATGTTTATCCCTCAAAACAATCATGAGACATGCACACAAATACACGTGCTCGCACATATCAAGAAAAGAGGGGGGAAAAAAAAAGATCTCCCCCTGCAACAGTTCAAAACAAAACGAAACTTTTAGGCCGTAATGTACTGATAAAGTGTAGGATGTTCAAAAGTTTGTCACTGATGTGGCATGTGAGGTCGAGCATGTGTGGTCAGGTCACTTATCACACACAGTTGTCTCTGGAGTCTTGACATGCAGTTTGCTCAAGAAATACAATTTTGAGAAGTTTCTGCAATTGCTTTCCCAGAAGTACCAATAGATTTCACTCTGAACTCAGCAAGAAAGAATTTCAGGAATAGGAGAAATCAGTTGCACAGCCCTTCCTCACAAGCTTCTCGTTCCTCGACTATTTCCAGATATCTAAGTACTCTACATCCAAGTCACTGCGCAAAAGCCCCAACAGGGGTCTGCAGTGGAATAACCCAGTCAGGTGACTTCCAGGAAACTTTGTTCTTCAAAAAAAATCTACAACGTTCACCGTGGTCTTTCGACAATCTCTGAAAAAAATGACTCCAGGCATTCCTGCAGAACTGGATGTAAATCAGTTTTTCCCACAATCCTTCAAAACTTGTCTTCCAAGAAGTATTAAATATGAAGCATCTTTGTAATGGGTGTAATGGTGCATGTAGAAAAGAGATTTCCACAGGCTGGTGGTGAGTTTAAAACCAGGTGACGCAATCTCCGAAATGGAGTAGGGAATCATTTCTTCACTCTGGGTAGTGAATCTTTGGAATTCTGTATTCCAGGGAGCTGTAGATGCTTAGTCAGTGCGAATTTTGTAGATTTTTGGAGACTAATGGCTTCAAGGGATATAGAGAAGTGGCTTTGCGGTAGATTACCGGCCATGATCTAAATGAATTGCAAAGTAGGCTTGTCAGGCTGAATGACCTACTCCTGTTTTCATATTACGATTTTCTTAACTTGTATTATGAATCGCATTACCAGCTAATGGACCAGTTGATACTTAAGAATTGGAGTCACCAGACTACACTGTATGGCAAAATATAATATCTGTGTTCTTTTTTCCTTTCTCTCTAAATATAAAATTATTAACCAGAGAGTATCCCTATCCTCCGATTCTATCTGGAATTCTGCTGTGTCACTGGGAGACTGTCTCCGGGCACCTATCCTGTCCCGTTCTGCCTGTGTGCTGCTCAAGGTTAATTAAAGAGCTCCAGATTCCCATAAAGCTGCTGCTAGGTGACTCTAATAGGGTAGCCCTAAAACACCCCTTTTACCACATCCAACCCCGGGCAAACAGTTCAGGGAAGAGACGGGACTGAAAAATCAATACACTTGCCCACATTAATTCCTGTCCCTGTCGGAGTGTAAAATTCCTTGCCCTGAATCTGCCATAATTTAAAAATAATATTCATAATTTTAGAAATTTATGAGGTCACTCTTCAGTCTTTTCAATTTATCCTTTTGCTGATGGCTATACCTCATGGTTCTGTCATCATTCTTGTAAATTTGTTTTGCATCCTTCATATTTCTTTGATTCAGTGGTACTAATTTTTTTCTTTTCTTTTCCAGAGGTGTTGTGGAATACGATGCTGAAGGATTCACCAAGCTTACGTTATTATTAATGTGGAAGGACTTTTGTTTTTTAGTTCATAGTAAGTATTTTTGTTTAAATGAAAAACTCGCATGTGATTTTGGGTGTTCAAAAATGCTAGAGTTGCCTCAGCATTTTATGCCAAACAGTTCAGTCTTCTAATCATTTTCTATAAACGGCCTTCAGTCTCATCTGTTTGTTAAAGTTTGAAATTTCCCATTCAAAAAGGAACAATCTATCATGTATTACTACTTTTAATAATATTAAATCCTTAAATATCTCTTCATAGATGTTACTTTTTAGTAACACATTGATTATATCACAAAATCTTTTTGAATGGAAGCCTTGTTTTGTTACCAGTGGCAGGATTACAAAGGGAGTCATTTAGTACAACGTTGTTAATAAAATGGGAAAATGCCATACTTTAGGCTGAGTCTAGGGCTCACTGTTTGAAATGCAGCCAGTATTTCCTTCTACAGTTATGCACATGGGGAGGTAATGGCCTAGTGGTATTGTCACTGGACTGTTGACCCAGATAATATTCTGGGGACCTGGGTTCGAATCCCACCATGGCAGTTGGTGGAATTTGAATTCAATAAATATCTGGAATTAAGAATCTAATGATGGCCATGAATCCAGTGTCGATTGTCTGGAAAAACCCATCTGGTTCACTAATGTCCTTTAGAGAAGGAGACTGCCATCCTTACCTGGCCTGGCCTACATGTGACTCCAGACCCACAGCAATGTGGTTGACTCTTAACTGCCCTCTGGGCAATTAGGGATGGGCAATAAATGCTGCCTAGCCAGCAACACCCTCATCCTGTGAATGAATGAAGGAAATAACAAATGCTCAATGTAGCTGAAAATGACTGCCACCATGCCTGAAGTGGGCAGGATAAGTTCTGAGAGTTGGAGGAGGGCTTCACTTTCGAGCGATGAGGCCCTTCAAAGGACATTACACATGCGTCCATACAGTACAGATGAAAGATACCTGGAGTTGAGTTTTTTGAGGAAGTAACAAAGATGGTCAATGAAACCTGTGTGGTGTATGTTGTCTACATGGACTATTGCAAGGGTTGTGACAAGGTCCCTCATGGCAGACTGATACAGTACATGAACTTGCATGGGATCTGCGGTGTGGTGGTAAAATGGATAAAGAACTGGTTTGGTCATAGAAGACAGGCAGTAGTGGTGGAAGGATGTTTTTTCTGACTGGGGATCTGTGACCAGTGGTGTTTCACAGGGATCAGTGCTGGGACCCCTGTTGATTGTAATATAGATTTGGAGGAGAACATAGGGCGTCTCTTTAGTAAGAATTGGTGCCAGCTTGATTGGCTGAAGGGCCTGTTCCTGTGCTGTTCTGTTCTTTATTCTTTGACACCACTAAATGCTGTTTGTGAACATCTGGCATTGACCAACTCAATGGACCACAAATCTTGGCCCCGCGCACCCTTGACCACATGATGCAACATCAGGAATCAATCCCACTAATGATTGTGATGCAAAAATAATGTGTTGAAGCCAGGAAAGGTTCATCCTTGTTGCCAAAGTTGCAAGCTCCCAGACCAAATTTCCATAAACAAGAGCTATTCATGTCGGACCTTGGACTGTGAAATCTTGTGTAGCACACAAGGTGGCAAGGCTCTGTACCTTCAAATTTGTTTTTGGCTAGACAGACATTCCTCACTCGTGATGAACAGCAAATGTCTACTTACAAATGTGAGAACATATTATTAATGAAGTGGCGCAGGTGACACTGTGTGCCCTCAGAAGATGATCTTCTTCCTTTCCCTCCCATTACATGTCTGTGCAGTGCCATGGTTCACAGTTGGGATGGAGAGAGCTTCCCTACTGTGAAACCCATTCACCTCGTAGTTTTAGTCAGGAACCTTGGGCGAGAAGGCCTAGACAGGCTTAGTGTGGCCTGCCCATAGGCACCATTTAGGCAGCTAGATACGTGCATGCCTGAGGCAGCATGATGAAGGCAGTGCTGCTGCAGTCCTGCAACAGTTGAATCAGATGTCCCAATCCCTCAGTCACACCTGTCTGCTGCTTCTGTGTCTACTTGTGTATTTGAATAAAAATGCTTAATCATTGACACCACACGGTCCTCTCCTGCCTGTAACTGCGAAGGCGTCAGCTTTCCTGCAGATCGAATGCCAGCAAACTGGGGCATTTCTCCCACGACAATCTATGAAGATATGGTATGATGTGCCCACCAAAATATGCCCTGACTCTTATCCCACCAAGTAGGATCATAGACTTTTACAGTTATTCAGCCTATTATGTCTGTACTGACTCCCGAAAGAACTACTCTGTTCATCCCATTCTCCAGCCCTATATTCGTTGTCTTCTAGATTCATCACTATCTAATATATATTCAGTTCTTTTTTTGAAACCCCCTATGGAATTCACCTCCACCACTCCCAGGCAGTGCATTCCAAATCCTAACAACTCTGAGTAAAGAAGTTTCTCCTCATCTCACTGCTAGCTGTCTTGCTGACGGTCTTGAAATTGTGACTCCTAGTTACTGACATACCAACTAGTGGAAACAGAATCTTATCCTTTATCCCGTCAAGATTTTTCATCAGTTTGAACACCTCAATAAGGTCACATCTTCATCTTCTCTGCTCCAAGGAGAACAAGCCTAATACCTCCAATCTTTCTCTGTATCCAAAAATCTGTCATTCCTAGTATCATTGTGTAGTGTATCTTCTTTGCACTCTCTCTAGGCTTTAATATCTTTCCTTAAATAAGATGCCCAGAACTGAACACAGACCTCCAAATGTGGTATGACCAATGATTTGTAAAGATATAGCATCACTTCCTTAAACTCTATACCCCTAGTTATATGCCCAAGGATCCTATTAGCCTCCTTAACAACGGTTTCAAATTGCCTGGCCACCTTCAGAGAATAATGTACTTGAACCCTGAAGTCCCCTTGCTCCTGTGCTCCCCTCAAAGTTGTACCATTGAGCCTGTATTGTCTCTCAGTATTTCTTCTACCAAAATGCACTACCTCACATTTCTCTAAATTGAAATTCGTTTGTCAGGTATCTGCCCATTTGGCCAACTTGTTAGTGTCTCTCTGATGTCGCTCAGCGTCATCCTCAGAATTCACTATTCTCGCTAGTTTGGTATCATTTGCAAATTTAGGGATTTTGCCCTTAAAATCCATCTCCAAATAATTTCTATAATTCAGAAAAGGCAAGGTTCCCAACACCAATCCTTGGGGAACACTACTTTCAACTTGTCTCCAATTTGAGAAATGCCCATTTATACCTACCCTCTGTTTCCTATCTTTTAGCCAACTTCTAATCCATGCTGCCAAGGGCCCATCAATCCCAAACATTTCTAATTTGCTAACTAACCTGCCATGCGTCACCATATCAGATGCTTTCTAAAAGTCCAAATATACAACATCCACAGCACTACCCCCGTCCACTGCCTGTGTCACCTCGTTAAAGAACTAAATTAAATTTGTCAGGTATCACCTGCCCTTGACAAAACCATGTTGACTGTCCATGTTGAACGACACCAGGTTCTTATTTGACACTGCACTCACACCATTTGTATGATCTTTTGATTTCTCTGCTCATAAATTCTGTGTTCTACGTGCTTCTCTCTCATTTCACCTGATGAACGGGCTACGCTCCGAAAGCCTGTAATTTCAAATAAACTTGTTGGACAATAACCTGATGTCATGTGACTTCTGACTTTGTCCACCCCAGTCCAACACCAGCACCTCCACATCATGACTTTCTAATATTAACTTAAATTTCTCTAAGTGTATATTTATCTTATTGTGTATTGTGGCCTCCATCAGTTTTCCCACTATTGGTGTCAAGCTGACAGGTCTAAAGTTTCTTGGATTGTCCTTTGCCCCTTTCTTAAACAATGACACCACATTTGCAATCCTTCAGTGTTACAGACCAGACCAAATACCCTCAAAATATATCAAGAAGGTAGTCTAGACCTAACATTTTCTAATTTTAAAGGTAAGTGTAAGGCGTTGTGGTTCCAGATGCAATTCGATTGGTCAATTACTTGACATTAAGCAAAACACACTTTATTTTTATACTACAGTTTAAAATATAGACAAAATAAAAATGAAATAAATGAATTGGCGTAACTGTAACACTATCAGAATGCTTAACCAAATAATTGATATATTAACTACCACTAATTAACTGTTTCAAGATAGTAACATCCCATTAATACACCCTTAGCAAAGGTAAATTCAGTAAAACAGCTTGTCTCACATGCAGTTCTAGCAGCAGGAAGAGAAAACACCAGCTTTTAACGGTAACAGAGAGGGGAAAAGAGCTTCCACAACCAGCTTCAAGATTCCAGCAACTGCAGAAAGTTAAAACTAAAATCCTGGTTCTGTGGGAGCTTGACCCCATCCATTCAGGCTGCTGTATTGTTCCAATTTTTAAAAAAAACCCAAGGCCCCATAAGCTGTTTACTCCATTAACTTTGAGCAGACTGCTCGGCATCTCTGTGTAAACCTTTCTTCACAAAAAAAGGACAAATTCATCTCTTAACGCCATAGTATTACCAGACCAGTCCCCCAGAACTAATCCTGTTTTCAGAGAAGCCCAGAAAATTTCCGTCAACAACTCTGCGATTTGCTCCCTTATCTCTCTCTGCAATCTAGGGTGTGTCGAATCTGGGCCTGGCAAATTCTCTACCTGGAGTCCTACCAGCCTTTTTACTTCTTCTTTATCTATCACAATATTGCCTCAGTTGGTCAACACCCACATTTTCAATTGAGCCATTGTCATCTTCTATTTTAAATAAAGAAAGAAGCAAAGTATTCACCTAGTACCTCCTCGTACCTTTTGCTTGTTTCTTATGGGCCCCACTCTATCTTTCACTAATCTTTTACTACTAATACATTTGAAAAATATTTTACTGATTGTTTTGGAGCAGTCTGTCATCCTTTCCTCATACTTCCTCTTTGCCTTCCTTATTCCAGCCTGTCTCTCTCCTGCATTTAAGATACACTTCCTGATTTCTTATTATTGTTATTATTCCAGTATGCATCATATACCTCCT